TCCCCCCCCCCTCCCCGTCAAATTCATTTTTTCCCCCCATTGGCGCTTTGTCAGCTCAGGTGGTGCGCCATGCTGAACTATGGAGTGGGTGGCCCACGTTCGAATCCCACGATGGGCCATCTTGAACTCTTGTTGTTTTGTGGAGATTTCAAGACTGTCAACCCATTAGGCTCAGTCTCATAGGAGACGGTACGTTCACCTCTTAAATAACCTACTAGTGTTTATAAGGGCATTAAACTCCTACACTTACTATAACATTCATGACAATAACAAGATTTATGTACCTTAATAAGGGGGACAAATCTTGTCACATTTATAATAATATATCAGTGTTTATAGAGCACATTGCCAAACTAAACAGTATGCTCTCTGCACTTTCCAACTAGATCTATTGTTACCCGAACAGACCCTAGAACACAGAAACATTCTCAGCACCCTGGGAAGCATAAATCTACATATTATAGAGTCTAGTAGAGCTGGGCGAAGAATCAGTTCCGGAACTGGCTCCACGGTCAATGCTACGAAGGAAAGTTCCGACTCCCGTTTACGTAACGGTTGCCAGTCCATTCAATCATTTAAATCATCCTCTTAAAAAAAACAAAAAAACTATTTTGGAAAAATTAAAAATTGATGCTTCGTATTGTTCTGAAATCAATGTTATCCTAAATCCTGAAGATGTTCGGAGCTAACCAGGTAACCACCGGAAGAAATCACTTTATTAGAAAGAAAGTAATTGGGTTCGGAGTCGATTCCTACGATTCCTAGCTTTCAATAATCGGAAACCTAGCCGCCCAGCACTAGAGTCTAGACCTAGATCTAGTGCAAACTGCAGATTGCACACCCGCAAACACTGACAAAAAACCTTTTGCTGCCTAGAATCTATATATAGATATCTAGCCGGGTACCCATTCCCATCTGGGTGAAATGAAAATAGAGTGCCTTTCCCAAGAACAGAACGTCGATCCCTGCGGAGTTCAAACTCATGAACTTTCAGCTGTGAGCCAAAGGGGCTAACTAACAAATAGACCACAGATGAACAGAAAAATTCATGACGGGAGACAATTCATGAAACAATCACAACAACAACAAGAGTTATGTACCTTGGTAAGGGAGACAATTCATGAAACAACTACAACAAAAACAAGAGTTATGTACCTTGGTAAGGGGGACAATTCCTCTAACAATCACAACAATAACAAGACTATGTACATTGGTAGGGGAGACAATTCATGAAACAATCACAACAAAAACAAGACTATGTACATTGGTAGGGGAGACGATTTTTGTAACAATCACAACAATAACAAGAGCTATGTACCTCTCTATAAGGGGAAAAATTCCAGTAACTTTCCTTATCAAACAGCCCCCAGAGTTATGTACCTTGGTAAGGGAGACAATTCATGAAACAATCACAACAACAACAAGAGTTATGTACCTTGGTAAGGGGGACAATTCCTCCAACAATCACAACAACAACAAGAGTTCTGTACCTTGATAAC